GACATCTGCCCGTGTAACAACACCTCTGCGCGCATCACGAGGAGGGGGAGGGGGAGGGGGGAAGGAGGCAAACGGGTTTCGGAGCGGTGGTCACCACTATCGGGGACACATTAAAAGGAACGGCTAACGGTTAACGACTTGACGTCGGAATCGGTTAAAGCGGTTGCCAGAAACGGGCACGAGGTTTCAGCCTTCAAGCTGCCTAGTTCAAACCAGATTGCCCACTACTCCAACAAACCCAAGGGTCGCCTAGACTTGCGCGGGTTGCTCGGTTCCCCTCCCGCCCTTCCGCCCTCCCTCTCTCCCGCCCTCCCTCTCTCCCTCTCTCCCTCTCTCCCGCCCTCCCTCTCCCCCGCCCTCCCTCTCTCCTTCCCCCCTTCCCTCTCTCCCTCTCTCCCTCTCTCCCTCTCTCCCTCTCTCCCTCTCTCCCTCTCTCCCTCTCTCCCTCTCTCCCTCTCTCCCTCTCTCCCTCTCTCCCTCTCTCCCTCTCTCCCTCTCTCCCTCTCTCCCTCTCTCCCTCTCTCCCTCTCTCCCTCCCCCCTTCCCTCTCTCCCTCTCTCCCGCCCTCCCTCCTCCTCCGGCCTTTGCAGCTCAGTCCATCTGGGCACACGTCACCCTGCCAGAGCGCATCAACTCTCCGCAACCCCAGCTACCCCTCATACCCCTACTTGGACCACTCCACCCTTCCCATACACCGCCAACCAACCCAACCGACTAACGCACTCAACCACCCCAACCAACTCACCCGGCGCCATATGCGTGAGCGTGCCCTGGAAGGTGGCCGACACGTGTGTTTTTTGGTGGTCCATCTTGATTGCCAAACCAAAGTCGGCGACCTGCAAAGAGAGGGGAGGGGAGGGGAGAGGGGAGGAATACTTGCAAAATCAAGTGAAGAGACAAGAGCTGCCGACATCCAAAGTCGCAAACTGCTGCTTCTGCTGGGGGAGAGGTGGGGGGAGAGGTGGGGAATGCGGTTGGTACGTGTGGAGGTGGGTTGTGTACGACAGAATGCCACGTATTAGGAAAGAGACGCATTGAGGGAACTCCGGGAAAGGGGACAAATGGACAGATAGACAAACAGGCAGACGAACAGGCAGACAAACAGACAGACGGACAGATTTGGGCATACGGGCCAGCAGGGGTGTCCGCGCTGGAGCTTCTAAACAGCAATCATGACTACGTTGCGAGTGCACCGGACACACGACACGTGTACGAGCATGCGTCGTCAGCACCACAGCATGCGTGCGTGTCGGGTTTTTGATGCCGTACCTTAGCCACGATACCCCTGCCTTCACCCCCGCAAGATTTCAGCATCACATTGTCCGCCTTCAGATCTGTTTAGGAGTACGGCCGTACGGAAAACACTCAAGTACGGGAGGAGAAAGGAACGAAGTCACGCTTTTAAACTGAAATGAAGCAAAGCTACCGCAGAAGATAAACCCAAGCAGCATTACATTATCCCACACCTCTCCCCCACCCCCCGTCCTCCAAAACACACCACACACTCCTCTCCCTCCCCTTCCACAGCCCCCACGCAAACCCCCCCCCCCAAGCCCCCACGCACGCAGCTGTTGCGGCTCACCCCCGTGCAACACGTCGTTCAAGTGGAGGTGTAGCAGCGCTTTGGCCACATCCGCAGCCGTGTCGAGAATGGCAGCGAAGTTAAGACCCGCCTCTGCAGGAGGGGAGAATCACATGCAAGCGGGGGGTGGGGGGAGAATCATATCTCCGCGGGGGGAGAGATGATGCCGAGACGAAAAGGAGGACAGGGGCAAATACGACACCGCGAAAATGATTAGATTATCAGCTACATGTTTAGCATATATCGCCCGACATAAAATTAAATCCAAAATTAAATTTAAAATCCAAAATTTCAAAAAAATCCAAAAACATCAATAAGAATTCAAATTCAAATGTTTATTTACTCACGCCCAAAGAATATCCCCGCGTCAAGCGCCTCTCGTAGACACCCCTTGTCACAATACTCGAGTACCAGCTGCACCTGCGAGGCCAGGGAGTCGGGTCCAGGTAGGGAAGGGAGGACAACTGTCTGAGAGCGAGATTCGTGTTGGGCCCCTTATGAAGGATATCCGCCCATTAGTTTACGATTATTAGATTACTTTCGCAACAGAGGACTACAGACAAGGATAGATAGACATTTGGGTTTTATTTTATTTTCAGCTCCAGGCAGGCAAATGGCAATTTCTGTCAGCCTCCTACCCGCCCGGCCCCTTCTTACCTTTAGAATACTTATAGGAGGCTTCTTCTGCTTTTTCCTTTTTTTCCCCTTTTTATTTTAGTCTTGGCGGCGAGGTAGGTAGTTTTTTTCCGCTATCTTTATGACTATTAAACATTATCGCGATGACTTTTTCTTCACAAGTCGCGGCTGGCTAGTTATTGCTTCCTTACTTCCCTATCCTTGGCATCAGCTTTTCTCGTTCACGTGGTTCGTCTTCCCCCTACCCTTCCCCCCGAAGCCCCACCCCGAGCCCCGCCGTCCGAGCGCACGTGCCTCGTAGCTGTGTATGCCTCCGGATCGTCCCCGGGCTTCGTCAAGGTCCTCTTTGTACTGCGCTAGTGGATCCTCGTCCAACCGCTGGTACGACCCGCCACCGTACTCGGTGGTGGCCTTGTCACTGCTGGGGGTTGAATGGGTGAATGAATGAATGAATGAATGAATGTATACATACGTCAAGAGGGGGAAGGGAGGACATGAGGGTGGAGAAGGTAAAGTTATCGGGGAATGGGGAAACAGAGGCACAAAGCGGAAACGTGCAGCCGAGGCACATGCATATGCACACATATCTATATCTATATCTGTATCTGTATCTGTATCTGTATCTATATCTATATCTATATCTATATCTATATCTATATCTATATCTATATCTATATCTATATCTATATCTATATCTATATCTATATCTATATCTATATCTATATCTATATCTATATCTGTATCTGTATCTGTATCTGTATCTGTATCTGTATCTATATCTATATCTATATCTGTATCTGTATCTGTATCTATATCTGTATCTATATCTATATCTATATCTATATCTATATCTATATCTATATCTATATCTGTATCTATATCTATATCTATATCTATATCTATATCTATATCTATATCTATATCTATATCTATATCTATATCTATATCTATATCTATATCTATATCTATATCTATATCTATATCTATATCTATATCTATATCTATATCTATATCTATATATCTATATCTCCTAAAATCCTAAATCTAAAATCTAATATCTAAAATCTAAAATCTAAAATCTAAAATCTAATATCTAATACCTAAAATCTAAAATCTAATATCTAATATCTAAAATCTAAAATCTAATACCTAATATCTAAAATCTAAAATCTAATACCTAATATCTAAAATCTAATATCTAATACCTAATATCTAAACTTAAACCTATACTAAACCTAAACCTAAGCCTACGCCTAAACCTAAACCTTAATCTAAACCTAAACCTAAACCTAAATCTAAACCTAAACCTAAACCTAAATATAATCTAAATTTAAAATCTAAAATTTAAAATCCAAAATCTAAAATCCATATCTAAAATCTAAAATCCAAACCAAATATCTAAAACTAAATCTAAATCTATATAGATAATATCTACACAAACATGTACACAAACATGTACATACATACACATACATATACAATACAACCCGTGTGTAAAACAGTGTACAAACATATACAAACAACCCGCAGCGGCCCTGAGAACTGCAAGATGCCCATCGACAACGGAGGGGGCGCCCGCCCGCCAGCAACAACCAACCAGAACCAGACCACGACTGATGATAATGAATAAGATAAGATAAATCTTTTAAAAGAGCTCAAAAAAGCCCTTCCCTTCCATCATCGTAAAGGCTTTAAGATTCTAGCGAATTTTAATTTCCGCTTTTTTCCATTTCCGCATGACATGTCAGTCCAGAGGAGACGCTCTCTCTCTCTCTCTCCCTCTCTCTCTCTCTCTCCCCCCCCAAAACTCAATTCACTCCCGCTGCTGAAGCCCATGTGTGCGCGGATTAAAACGTGCCTCATTAAATCTTTTTACTTGATTAAGTGTAGGTTTATGGGCGTAGTGGCGCCCGCAGCCCCCCCCCCCCCACACACACACACACGAGGCCTAACGACGCACTCACTCACCTGCCCACAAGAATTGCCGATGGCGTGAGGCGATCCGACGGACGAGGTGACTTGTAGTTGGATGAGGAGTCCTGTTGGGGTGCGGTAGGGGACGGGGGCGATACAAGGGGGCGCAGCATGTGCGCGGCGGGGTGAGGGATTCGCAGAGAGGAGCGAAATGGGAAGGGAAGGATGGACCGAACCACTGGCGAACGACCCGGCGGGGCGGGAGCGGGGGCGAGGGCGAGGGAACCCGCGGGGGCTATAGTGAGGTAAGGCGAACCACGAGCGAGTGAAGGTGATTCCGCCAAGGAAAGACTGATGCGCCAGAAGTAAACGGGCGGGGAGGAGGGGGGAGGGGGGGAAAGACGAACCACGAACGAGTGAAGCTGCTGCCAGGGCAAGAGGGGTAAGGGGGGTAGGGGCCTTCAAGAGGTAGGGGCAGCGGGGGGGGGAGAGAGAGGTGAGAGGAGAGGAGGGGAGAGCGTCAGTCAGGACCTGAGACCACGGAGTTGGCAAAGTGCTGGGCAAACGTAAAACTGCAAAATTTGGCATGACGCGTGGCTAAGTCCTGGCTGCGCGGCTGGAGCTGGATTTCACAAAGAATACGAACCGGCTTCGGACTTGGCTTTCGAAGAAAGAAAAAAGCCACAAAAATTTCAAACGCACGCACATTCAGACAGACAGAAATCTCGCGCTCCCGCGCCTTCTCCTCAATATTCTCACGGTATCGGTGTCTGCAGGCAAAGGCAAATGAACCCCACTCAGTTTTCAACATACCGCTTCTAAACAAAATCCTAAAAAACCATTAAAAAAACCCTAAAAACCCTAACCTAAAACCCTAAAAACCCATAAAGGCGATATCTCGAACCGCCCCGATTTGAACGAATTTTCTCGTGTCGTACCTTTAGCGGTTTTATCTGGTAGGTGTACGTCGCGACCACATTTGGGTGCGCCAGTGAGGAACTGATGGCCGCCTCCATCACCGCCATCTTCTCCCGCTTCTCCTTGCCGCTCATGTTCGCGGGCAGGACGATGGTCTTGATGGCCACCTCAGTGCCCCGCCACAGACCTTTTTTTACGCGGGATAGGGTAGAGGGTAGAGGGCAGGGTAATGATAATGATAATAATGGCGGGGAGGCGGAGGAAGTGGGGAAAGACGAACCACAAACGAGTGAAGCTGCTTCTTTGGAAAAACTAGTTAACCAGCGGTAAGAGTGTACCAAACGTAGAACTGACCGAAAGGCGTCCGAGGAAGAGGGGGAGGAGGAGAGGGAGGAGCAGGAGGAGGAGGAGGAGGAGCAGGAAAAGGTTTTTCCGTCCACAAGCCGGTTTTCCTCTATAAAACCCCCACGGCCCCCCACCCCCCCTCAGTAGCGACCACCTAACACATCGCACAACGCACCTTGATACACTTTCCCGAACGTCCCCTCCCCGATCATTCCCCCGAGAACAAGCTCCGTATCCGGCCCCAAGCCGCTCGATCCCCGTCTCCTGTGACCGCTTCCGCTTCCGCTCCCCTCGCCGCCGCCGCCACCGCCGCCGTCAGCGCCGCCACCGGCTCCATCGCCGCTGCTGACGCCGCCGCCAGCGCTGGTGCCCCTCCGCCGACCGCCGCCGCTCCGCAAGGAGCCTAATAAACGGGATCCCGTTAGCAGCTTTTGGCGCATCTCCTCGATTTTTTCTGCGCATGTACGGCAGCGGGATATGGTACGGGATGAATTTTTGTCTGGGACGAGTACTGTTAGGTCGTCGGTATGTGATCAGTTCCTGAGAGATTCATCCAGATATGTGGCATTGAGTGCCAGTGGTAGGCTTAGGGGCCGTCGTACCGGCTTAGGGGCCGTCGTACGGACCGTTGTACGGGAACGTGTTGGATTCAAGGTATTGCTTAACATTTATGTGGAGTGGAGGTGTCTTAGGGGTTTTCGTTGTTGTTGTTTAAGGTTGGGTTCTAAAAAGGTGATCGTTGTGTTGTTTGGATGCTGACCCGTGGGTCAGCATCAAAACCCGAACCCGAACTCGACGCCAGCCATCATCATGAGAAGTAGTCGCACTCACCCTCGGGACTCGCGTGCGCATTCGCCGATAACGACGCGCCGTTGGCCGCCGCCGTTGCCGCCGCCGCCGATGATGCCGCGCCGGCGCCGCCGCCGTTGGCCGCCGCCGCCGCTGCCGCCGCCGCCGTGCAGCCACTGCCGACTACGGACGCTTCAGGGTCCAGCCCTAAACACTCTATGAGATTGTACTGCCGCCGTAACAGCGCCTCTATGCGCTCCTTCTCATTCAAAAGTGCCGTAGCTGCATCCTCCAACTGCTCGTTCGCCGACTGCGTTGCAACGGAAAAAACGGAAAATCCTTTGGGACGATTGGCGCAATTGGAACAGTTGCATCTTGATGCGCCAAAAGCATATGTGCCGTACCGACAGCTCTCGAAGGACTTGCGGGGACTGCTTGTCGTCACCAGCTAGCTATCGTTGTGGTTGGCGCACGGGGGGAACCGTGGTGAACGGGGTGGACTACCGCCAGGATGGGTCAGAAATATACCTTTACGATATAGTTAGCGCACCCCTTTGCCATGCGGGTTGACACTTGTATCCACGTGTGTGTGTATGTCTGTGCCTATATCTGTGCGTATGTCTGTGCGTGTGCGTGCGTGTGTGCGTGTGTGCGCGTGTCTGTGCGTGTGCGTGTGTGTGTATGTGTATGTGTATTACACCTACACCTACAGCTCCACCTGTTCTGGAGTTGCGTTACCACCCTTCAAAGGTGTCATCACGAGAGCCCATACCCGGAGACATGGGGTGCCACTGGATAGGGCAAGACTTACAGACAGACAGACTTACAGATTGCAACTGCCGTGGCCGTCCAACAACCAGCACCCCTCCTAAGATGCAGAAGACTTTCATCTGGCGAGGACTAATGCTTTGGCCGTTACGGCGCTTTTGACCATGGGTTGCCACTGTGACCCACGGGTCACTTACCAGCACCTCCTCAAGCAGCAGGTGCTGCTGCGCCCGGCCTATGAGTGCCATCCCCACCAGCATAGCCATTAGTATGCTCATTACTATCACCTGCGAGACGATGAAAAGGAAACAAAAAACATGAACATCCCCAGTTTTTTCATGACATTTGGAAATTGCTGGAGGGGATATAAAAGCCGCTGCGCATTAATGCGGCGAAAAAGGATCGGGGAAATGAAGGTGTGACAGTTTTAATTGACAGCAGTCTGGCGCCGTACGTTGAAAGGTTTGACATTTAGGGCAGAGGGGAGTGTAGGAAGGAATGGAGTTGGAAGTGAAGGAGTGCAGGCCGGCGTTGTACTCACCATCGCGACCAGCGGCCACTCCCAATTTGGCGACCAGCCACGCGCATCCGCCACCGTCAGGCTCCAGACGTTGTTAGGAACCAAAATATTCACCTCCACGGGGACACGGAGCGCCTGCGCGACCCATGGGTCATGCCGCAGTCACCGGTCCAGGAGCAGTCATTAAGCCAGGTCGTCATATTCCGTGAATCTCAGCCACGAAGACCCTCCGACCATGCGACAGATCCACAAAACAGGGCCCCTGAAAAATCCACCGACCCAGGGGTCAGACCTGCCAACTGATTCCAGCAACGCGGTTCAAAAGCTGCTGATCTTCAGGTCAGTGGCACAAGTCACACAGCCACCGACCCATGGGTCTCAAGCTTAAGATCCGTAGACCCATGGGTCTCAAGCTTGAGATCTACGCATCACGGATTACATTTCGCGGGTTCCCACCTCAGCTCTGCCCGCCAGTAGGAAAGGCACACTGCGATCCACGTCGTCTGGCCGAGTGAGCCTGTAATGCAGGCCCTGGCGGTTGAGATCATCAATTCGTACAACGTCGTACAGAAACCGTTTCCAGTGAATCATCACGGTCGCGAAACCTACAGCAGGAATGATCCAAATAGGTTTAGGAGGAAGCGTTCAAACCCAGCGTGACGTGAAATCAGGTTTTCAAAAGGTGACGGAGCGAAAGGGAAAGGAGGAGGAGGAGGAGGAGGGTTTTAGGGTTTTAGGCCGTACTTACTTGCGCACCAAGGACTCATACACACCGTGTCCGGATGACATGGCCACGCATGCCACGAAACAAATAAAAAAATGACCTCACCCCAAAATTTGGTCCGGGTGCTCGGGTCATAGCATATACTGCAATTCACGACGTCTTGCCCCGTCCCGAACGTGTCGTTCGGGTCCACCCCTCGCACGAAGATGGGATAACGAGCCGGAGCGCCCATGTATCCCTGTACGGCAAAAAAATAAGCGCGAAAAGCCGATGTGAAGGTAATATAGTGATTACCTTAGGATCCAATTAGGATCTTTCGAATTGTGGCGAAAGATCCTAATTCGGAATAGTAAGCATACTATTAGTATAAGGTTAATATTAAATGTAGTAATGGAAAGGAAATTCCAGAGATGCGGGGAGAAAACCTGAATTGCTGCTAAAAATGCTGTTAATCGTGTCTTTCTTTGAAAACAATTCAAGCCGTTTTACAATAGAACGAGAGGTGGCACAGGCCTGTGTGTTCCGTACTTTTGAGCACGTACCTGAACGAGCTTGTACGGACCAGCCAACGTCAGGTTATGTGAGGCGATGGTCTTCAACGCAAACTCTCGGTTCTTGGTATCGTTCAACAGGTCAAAGTTTATCGCATCCTCGTTGCCTGAGTACGGCATAAAGTACGGCAAGAAGTACGACAGCCAAAAAACACTTAAAATCTGCGTCTCGAGAACTGTCCCGTGCCATTTTTCCCACCCTGGTGCCCAGTTTGACTATCCCTGGAGCCAACTAGCTGCATCTAAAACATCGAACAAGCCTAGCTTCATCCACTCACAGACCCATCTTTCCCTCCTAAGAATTCATTAACAACTCAAATTCCCCTCGCACCCAACCCCCCAGAGAGCAGCATAGCCTCAATGATCACACCCCGCCCTATCCCGCTCTCAACCCAGGCGTGTCCCATTCAACGGCCAGTACGGATCGTCGTACATGTCGCCACGTCAGCCGTGGCCGGAGCACAGGACTGGCGAGGAGCAGCACTGGGCTACAGAACCCCCGGCTTTTACGGACATTTTACACGTTTAACGCACGTGTGTACGGAACTTTTCTAACTTGTAACTGGACCCCTCTTGGCGGCCCGGGGGGGCCCCCCGCGGTGTTTTCTTCCTGAAGCGCACGATATTCCCCCCCCTCGGGGGGGGGGGGGCGGGGCCGGGGGGGTCTGCAGCTCCACCGGCTGACGGTCCACGACGGCGACGACGTTCCGGAGCTCAAACGGCTCAAACGGCTAAATTGCCTACTCCAACTTCCCCACCTCCCGCACATGGGTTTACCCCATACATGCAAAACCATAATACCCACGGCCCATGTTGCTCCAAGCTTGCCGGCCCCCATGTTATCGCCTTTTGGTTTGGCCTTCTTTCCGTAAATGTATCTTTGAAGTAGTGTAGCCTTGCCTAGCTGTAACATCGCCCGCCCTTTTCAAAGACCGTCCCATCTCCGCGCACCTTTCAAAGGCTCAATCGCTCGCACCACCCCCAACGGGGCGAGCTGCATGCTGTCGATGCTGCCCGCCGCCGTCAGCGACAGGAGTTCCGTCGCCAAGGAGGGGAAGGTGGCTTTCAAGTCGGGGAAGTACGGGTAGCGCGTCACGAACGACTGCATGACCTACAGACGCACGTACAAACAGACAGACAGACAGACAGATGCATGTGCACAAGTGCACAGGTAACACGCAGGTGAACATTCTTTAAATGTATCTGTTCATGCATCATATTAGATTAATCATATTGGACTAATTATTATATTTTCATTTCTATATTTATTTCATTTTGTTATTTATTTTACTAGCTTCTTTATCTAATGTTTTTGTGTGAGTAGAAACATGGTGAAGGGTCAGCACCGAGACTAAAGCAATATTGGAGGCCTTGTGCCGTCGGCAGAGTTGTGACGGAGGCTATGGCGGCGCCGCCGGCCGTACAACCAGTCCCGGGAGCACCACAAAAGCCGACGACACAGCCGGCGGCGCCGTCAGCAGAGCTATGGCTGTATCCCTATCTGTAATCACAGAGCTACTGCCGCCGCTACCGCCGCTGCGTTAACATGGGCTTTACCCGGTAGTGGTAGTGGTAGCGGTAGCGACAGCGGCTATGGCTGTAGCAGCTGAACATCGCGGTCCGGAGCCGCCGCTACTGCTGCGCCACCGCCGCTACTGCTGTAGCTGTTCCTGTGCTTGCTGTAGCTTGTTGGTGGGGGTGGGGGGTGCTCGCCGATCATGCTGCCGTTGACCTGTCGCCATTGCTGTTGCTGTTAGCCTCCCCCCCTCTTTCCCCCCCTCCAAACACACAGGCACACACACCGCTCCTTGAACCCCTTCCCTCGTGGCCTTTCCTACACCCCTATCCCCCGCCAACATCGCCTTTTCTAATCCCGTTCAAATTTCCCGCCCCATTTCCAGGTCCCCCCTGCTAACTACCCCCTGCTTACTAACCCCATGCTTACTACCCCCTTGCTAACTACCCCATGCTAACTACCCCCTGCAGCTATAAATGGGATCCAAGTTATGCGGGGGCGTAATCATGCCGCGGGCGTCCTGGGACCCATGCGGAGCCAGGGAGGGAGCGCGACCTGACGAGCAGACGGCTGACCTATAAGCCTACCCCACGCCGGCCTGCGTATACCCCCTGACCCCTTGATTGAGTGGGAGGTAAGGCTTGCCACCAACCTTGACTGGGAGGTAACACGCCCGCAGCTCCGATGCAATTGTCTGGGCCTTGTCGGCCGCACGATTCTGCGCATTGGCCAACCGCTGCCGCCGCTCCTGCGCTGACGCCGCAAACACGCCCCATAGCCCCAGTCCCATGCATAGGAAGAGCAGTAGAAGTGGAACAATTACCACCTTCTTGTCCCTCCGAATCGCAAGGAGGAGGGCCTGTATGCGTGTTTGGAATGCCATCGGACAAAATTGAGCTGGGATGATGGAGCATAACCTATCATGTCATAATGGATTCTTTTAATTACCTTTTTCTTGACATTTCCTCGCTGCCTCTTGTCGGTCGTGCTCGGAACAAGGTTCGCTCTGGCAGGTCCCAGTCGCCTGCTTAAACGTGTGCGCTTTGCGATGTGCGCAAAAGGATGGCGAGAGTCCTGGTATGTCGCAACCCTGTTTTTTTCAACCACGCTCCTCAGTTTCTCGGCATCCAACGTCTCGCTTGTGCCGACGTGTTCTTGCTGACTGTCATCAGCAGTCGCGCATGCTATTGATATAGGAGGTCGTAACTCTCCCTCACTACAAGGATTTTGGAGCAAGGGCGCCGACGGATGTGTCGTCCCATTGTAGTTTTCGCAGGCTGCCGCCCAAGTCGGCACAGTAACTACTATGTGGCCATTCGAGACCTCTGCACCTTCGGCCATTAATGTTGTTTCTAACCTTACGTCGCGAGCATTGCACTCTTCTCAACTCGCAAGAACCCCATATAGCTTATTCCGTGTTATACAAAAGTATTGATGTACATGTAATTATGCATGCTACTCATTACTCGGAAAAAGCGGTGAGTGTGGATTTGCATAAGCGGCAACGGCAACGACAACGCACCCTTCCAAGTGCGCGAATAGAGCTACTGCCGAAATAACACACCAATAGCATACACAACGATATGTTTTATCTAATCATAATTTCCATGGGTTGACTGCACTGCGACGCTGGATAACGGCGAAGGGTTGCTCTACACAGCGATTTGAAGCAAGAGGCGCAAACGAATTGAATTACAAGCTGATATTCGTCCTATTAAGCAGTGCAATTAATGGCATTTGCTAGGCGAGCACTAGCGTAAGGCTTTCTATTATAATAGGACATCACGCACGTCTGCAGTCCTCTTCCTTGCGGCAGGATCTGCATGCGGTACAGACGTAGTGCAGGCTATCATTAAGCGGTTTAGCCTCAAGAGTTATTCAATTTCTCGTCGCGAAGGGGCCTCATAAACGCTTTAGCAAATAGCCAGCTCCATTCCACATTTTCTGTTGCAGATGCCGCCGATGAACAGTTTCCGTCGCCGCAAGAGAAGCTTTCCTAACCATATGCATCTTTGCTAGAGCATGCTCCGGAACCATGTCAACGGTGTCAACCGCAAACGCCACCTCCATACGACGGCAATGCCGGTTGCCTGGATCTCTACCTCTTCGATATAAACATCAACGTACCTGGTATCGCGCAGCATCAGGATGGATCTTTGGCGCCAGCCCTCCGGCTCTGTTCCCCGAGTACTTCCGTCAGTCGAGGCCAGCTGTACTGGGTGCCGTACCAACTAACCATCCGTACAACTTCCGCGAGTCATCTCCTTCCACCCACAGCAAGGCGCCTGTGGAGCTTTCTGCACTTGAGGCGGCCCAGCTTCGAAGTATTTTGCAGGACCGCCGGGCCGCCCTCTTCTGGGTAGGGGTGGGTAGGAGTGGGTAGGAGTGGGTAGGAGTGGGTGGGAGTGGGTGGACGTAAGAAAGAAATAGTAGAAGAAGACGGTAGTTTATCTCACGGCGGAGGCGCAGCGGTTCTGTGCACACACCCCTCCAACCACACGCCGCCAGCCTCACATTATCCACACGCGCATTTTGACCACACCACACCACATCGCAACATACCGCAACATGCCGCGTTGCACCTGTCTTTCTTTTTACTTTTTTCCTTTCAGGATTTGGACAACGTGGACTTCTTTAAGCCCGCCTGCTCAGCTCCTTTGCAAGTCCACCGGCTACGGGTAAGAAAGGAAGGCACGGGCAGTAAGGCCCACTTGCAATAAGGGTCTCACGGGTAGTAAGGCCCACAGGTAATGTGATACCCGGAAAATATAATGGTGCGTGGCGCTTAGACGTGTAGGGGAGTTAAGGGCCGTGGGTCAGAGGCAGGAGCAAATGTACGACAGCTAAGGGGCGTGGCTGATAAGAGACGCAGAAGATCTAAGGCTGTTACCCGTCCTGCTACGCACTGCCTGACCTCGGACCCACTTCCTCGTTTTTGACATCCACAGTCTTTCTTTCTTTCGACATATGATTTCTCCCTCCCCCCTTTCTCGACTCCCTCCCTCCCATCCCATCCTTCACTCATTCACTCGCTCACTCACTCGCTCGCTCACTCACTCAGTCGCTCATTCACTCACTCGTTCACTCACTCGTTCACACACTCGCTCGCTCGATCGCTCACTCACTCGCTCGCTCGCTCACACACTCAGTCGCTCACTCACTCACTCGTTCACTCACTCACTCGTTCACTCACTCGCTCGCTCACTCAGTCGCTCACTCACTCGCTCGCGCACTCCTGGACCCGCGAAGACTCTGGTGACGGAGGCGGGAGCGCAACTCCTCAGTTGCAGGGCGTACGGCAATACGGACACAGTACGGAGGTTGGCAGGTAGGTATACGACAATGGCCCGGGAGGTTTGCGGACCGGGAGCTCGGGACCATACGAATGCCAAAAACCGACGTGCCGTACCGACACGCGCCGCCCATCTGTTATTGCTTCATATTTCTCAGACATAACCGCTCATGGCGCGCACATCGCAAGCTTTAGATTCAACATGACGCGAACGCAGGGATGCCGCTGTTGTTGGAACGTTTGGGCCTTATGCAAGTGGAGATTGTGGCTGTCCGGCGCGACGCAGCAGACGTGCGGCTAGTGAACGACGTCCTGGAATTTACAACAACATCTGTGACCCATGGGTCATTGCCGTCTGCAGTGCTGTGCGTCTCCCAGGACACAGGTGGGCTCAATCTTCTGTCAGCTTTGGGCGACGGCCCCATGTAGTGGGTTTTGGATGGCAAGTAGAGGGGTTCGGGACTAGAGGAAGGATGGGGCCTTGCGTACCGACGCCGGGGATGTAGTCATAGTGGCAAGTTAGGGCCCCGGGCCAAGTTAGGGCCCCTAACCCTTCTCCATAATGCACACGTTTTGTCGATGCTACGGTCGTATGACTCGACATTGCCCTTTATGGTCACTAACCTCCTTCGTATCACAGATTTCGCCAGCCCTTTGCGGTACCTGTCCGAGCTTGGCATCCCCACCTTGGCCATAAGCCCCCACGACCCGCGACGCCGGGTATGTAACGGTGTCATTGTACGGCAGGTGTACGGTATGAACGCGCACATCTGTGTGTGTGGCGGCGGATGCCGCACTTAGGAACCGCCGACAGTGCTCCTTCCTGCCGTGGAACAGTCCACCAGCCGCCATCTTTAGCCGTTTTGCGCACCCCCCATAACATAATAATCGGCGATGAGCTAGCAATCCTCCGGCCTAAGAACAACGTAGAAATCTGGTTCAACATCCCCAAAAGGGAACCTAACTACAACAGGGTAGTTTTGTAGTTGATAAGTCCATTTCCCCTTTAGTGTTCTTCTTCCCCTTTAGGGGGACTAAAGGGGAACCCCTTCGGGGATGAGGTCGGGTTATTGTCGAACATTTTTTTGAAACTCTTATTTGCATCCTTACAACACGTTCGTAACGCTATACTGGATGGACACCCGATGAAGTGAATACTGGATGAACGCAGCGTGATTTATCGGTGATCGTCCGGAATGGAGCCATAGTCCGAAATCTTTGGCCCGCACAAAGACCGCAGCACCTGGTTCCACCGGCATGCACAGTTTTCACCGTTTTCCGTTAGTTCTTGTTTGTGTATTTGTGTTTGATGCGCTCGATGTGCGTTCGGGGGTTTCGTTATTTTCTCAAACAATTTCCGGTTCGACCCGGCTTGTTTTTTGGTGAGAGGTCTCATCATGGGTCCCCCCACCGCAGACACACGCGGTCATGGAGCCTTCTACGTACTTCAAAAGGTACGACAGGTGTCGTATATGACAGTCGTAGATGTATGTGTGTTCGAGGTGGCAGGTACTAGTGATGTATAACAATCCATCTACGGCTGATGTCGTACATCACGTCATGCTCGGCTTCTTTTCCCTAAGCGGCTTATGGTATATTTCCCATTCTGATCTGATTTCCGAATTGCTGCGGGGTTTGCGAGCCTTTATTGTATTTTTGTTCCAAATCCCTCTTTTTAAAACAATCAAATTCGTAGGAATGGAGCCATTGCTTCTTGTATATGTTTTTTCCTGGCAAGCCACTTCTGTGCCCCTGATCCCAGATTCCTTGTTTGTTGTGTTGTCGTGCCAAAAGGCTGCCTCTGCCCACTGCATGTTGGGCAGCCTTGAAGTGGGAGCCGCTGACCGCACCCGTAACTGACGCGGAAGCAGTCTGGCTTCGAGAAGTCCTAGGTTCGATCCCTGCGGACAGGGTTGAGTTGGGGAAAATGGAGAGCGGACTGCCAGCGGTGGTGGCGGCGAGGGAACCAATGATGGCAAAAGCAGCAGTAGCATCGGCCGGATGTGCTGACATGGCCAAGCAGCCGCCGCCGTCGCAGTCTCTGGAAACGACGGCAGCAGGATTGGGGACATGTCTTGTCGGGACGCGGGCTGGTAACGTCCGTGATGATGTCGGTTTGGGTTGCAGTGGCGCCGCCGGTGAAGCAGTAGCGGGCGTTAATGCTCTGCCACGTAGCCTGGGGTCGTACACGCGGGCTGGCGTTCGTTGCCCCGGAATGGCCACACGGCTGTGGATAAATCCCCGCTTTTACAGCAGCTGACTCAACTCGAGTCGATAAAGTTTTGGCCAATATGACATGATCGCGATCATGATGATGATGATAATGATGATGATGATGATGGTGATGCGGATTTGTGAGCATCGTGAGGCCATGGACGATTCGACGTGATGTGAGGAATATTTTTTTAGCAAGGTTGAGGCCTTGCTAAACTCCCGATGGCAATAGCTGCCGATTCGCTTCGCCGTACATTGACATGACATAACACAGAACATGGCGTGTCGCTAACCCAACGGTCCGATGAAACATCGATGTGCGACGCGCAATGCGACCCGACTTTATAACCACTACCACTATGACATAGGACGTGCGCCGATGGTGGGTTAAATGGTTTTGGTTGCTGAATGTGATGCCTCTTCACTGTTCGGCTTTTGGCCGTGAAGATGGTTGGACGCGCCCTGTTCATGGCGTGCACATGTGGCGCAGCCTAAAAACAGCTCTACCGTGCCGGCGAGTGAGGGGAATCTATAGGGTGCTGGGTGGTAGACAGAGAGAGGGAGAGGATCAGAAGATCCAAAAGAGCGCTGGAGAGGACTTCTACCAGCGCCGTGCGTTATGAACGAACCTCGGGTGTGTGTCCTGAAGCTGAGCCAGCCGAATCCAGGCCTCCTGCCGATAGCCTGCCTGGGGCAAGCAACCCCATCATCTTCGTGAAACTGTTAACCATGACCTATGCTTGCAGTAGGCCGGGTCTGGGTGTCAAAGAATGGCGTTTGGGGCTTATACCTCTGCTGCGGAGCGGCTTGGGGAGTCCAGGGTTCCCCTCTGGTGCTGGTGCCCATCTACCTACTTACCTACCCGCCTGCCTGCCTACCTGCCTGCCTGCCTGCCTACCTGCCTGCCTGCCTGCCTACCTGCCCATCTACCTGCCTGCCTGCCTACCTGCCTGCCTGCCTGCCTACCTGCCCATCTACCTGCCTGCCTGCCTGCCTACCTGCCTACCTGCCTGCCTGCCTGCCTGCCTGCCTGCCTGCCTGCCTGCCTGCCTGCCTGCCTGCCTGCCTGCCTACCTACCTGCTTGCCTGCCTGCCTACCTGCCTGCCTACCTGCCTGCCTGCCTGCCTACCTACCTGCCTGCCTGCCTGCCTGCCTACCTACCTGCCTGCCTGCCTGCCTGCCTACCTGCCTGCCTACCTGCCTGGGCCCCTCCCCCCGCTTTTACGGACACACCCGCACTTTTGTGCGGAGCTTGTAGCTTGTAACCTAGAGATACCTTTATGTTGATGTGGCATCACCGAGCGTCCCGCCCATCACCATCTTCGCCGGCAAGGGTGATCAAGGCAGGGGCAACGAGCGTGGTGGCGATAACGGCCACGGCCGTGGCAATAGTTGTGGAAACTGTTGTATCCTGTAAAAGTTTTCTGCAACGGTTTGGGCGCCGAATCCTAACTGTCGGTGGTTATCTCGTCCACTCCGATTTACCGAACTTCAATATTACTAACTAACACCCGTCAATTCCGCGGTCGGTGATTACAGGTTTTAACTAATACTGCTATTAGTTTAATTGCGGCTACTGTTAGCTGCGGCGGATAAAACGACTACTGTTAGTCGTCCGCCATTCAAGTGCCGCACTGCTGCGGAAGTCTATGGGCGACGGCGGCTATAGCGACTACTGTTAGTCGTCCGCCATTCGAGTGCCGCACTACTGCGGAAGTCCATATCTGCATATGGGCGCGTTGCGGCTACTGTTAGCTGCAGGCGGCTAAAGCGACTACTGTTAGTCGTCCGCCATCTTAATGCCGCACCGCTGCGGAAGTCCATACCTGCGTATGGGCGGGGGTTTTACTTACGTAAAGCTGGGACCTGCGTCCCAGTTTCGTCTGACCGAGCGAGAGTAGTTCCTGCGAACTATGGCTTCTGGATACGGCGCCGCCCAGTCGTACTGGGGATTCTTATCGGCGCGAGGCCCAAGTGGAGTCACGGATGACTATTTATTCAAGACACTTGTCTCAATCGGTATCTTTCGATGCCCCCATTATGTGGTTGTGTCGTCTGAAGTCTACAACAGAAACAACGACGGCCGCTTTGGCAGCAGGCGCTTCAACTGCAGGTAGGCTGGTCACCAAGCTGGGGAATGTCCCGAGCCAAAGAAGGAGTGCACTAAGCACCACATGCTGGGACACACAGCTCAGGAGTGCCGCAAAAGACGTCGCCGTGGTGGAGCGGAAGGCGCTGGAAATGCCGGCAGAAATGCCGCCGTGGTCGAGCACCCGGTGGTGTTCATGCTGGAGTTGGGGGATTCAACATCACATACAGTGGCGGCGGAGGCTGCTAATCTAAGCCAGCATTGGAATCTACCCCAGCATTTGCTGTGTCAGCGGTGGCTGAGACATTGGCTGCACCATACAGTACGGAAATGGTGAGGCCAGAGCTGCGAGAGCGAGATGCCACCTGGTACCTGGACACGGCGCTGTAGGATACGGGGACCTAGTTCCGAAAGGTCAAGCGAGCAGCGGGCCATATCATCTAGGAGGTTAAGGTAAGGAACTGTAGGTTTTCTGAGTGAAACTATGTGCCAGGGTTTAAGTTCCGGCTTTTGTCGCTCAAGCAGCTGACTAATGACGGTGCACAGTTTAAGGGCTCTGGGATGTGCATGGAGGTCAGGAATAACTGGAAAATTTGGGCCTTATTTACCGATTGAAAGGATTCAATATATGCCGTAAATATCAAGGAGAAGCCGCCGAGAATACATGTTGCCCGACCAGTTGCTTCAGTGCACCTTGCTGCAGATCGTACAAGGCTGTGGCACTCACGCTCTTTGGTCACCTGAACTACAGCAACCTGGCGCACCTGGCCGACAAAGAGATGGTCGCTGGCCTTGATGTGACACCGAAGAAGTTTCGAGCTGTTGGTGTGAGGCTGCGTGAGAGGGGTGCGTGTTGGGCAGGCATCATCCTGGGAAGCCCTTTCCGGAGTCACAATCCTGTGTGGGCCCGGCTCTGGAACGAGTACATATGGGCCTTGCAGGACCGTTGTCTGTTGGGGGCCTTATGGAGGCAATAATTACGATGCTACTTTTCTGGAAGAGCATACGGGCCTGTCTGTGGTGTAGAGTGGTGTGTCCTTTTTAAAACATAAGAGTGAGGCACCAGAAGTTGTGAAGCATGCATTGGCACTGCTGGAGAAGCAGCGTGGGCAGAGGTGAAGGAAGTGCGTGCAGATCGTGGAAGGGAATATCTGAATGCTGAGATGTGGGAGTACTACGGTGTGCGAGGGATTTTGCATCAGACCTCTTTTGCATCATACACCCCTAAGCAGAATGGCGCTGCTGAGCGCCTGAATCGCACCCCGATGGGGAAAGTTAGGTGCACACTGATTGAGAGCGGCCTGCCTTCACGTGGGTGGGCATTAGCGATGCATACGGCAAATTATCTGTGCAACCGTTCCCCAGTCCATGGTCTGAAAGGAACGCAATTTGAGGGGTCCTATGGGCGGAAGCCTCACGTGTCAGACCTGCGTGTGTATGGCTGTGTTGGCTACATTTGAATACCAGATCATCAGCACAAGAAGATTGAGCCGGTATCCAGGAAGGGTGTCTTTGTAGGCTAGGACACGGAGTCTACGGCATACCATGTTCTTATGCCAGATGGGCGACAGTTAGTCGGTCGAGATGTCAAGCTTGATGAGCATGTGCATTTGGTCTGATGAGCAGTAAGAGCCCGCAGTATCGGCTGCAGGTGGTCAGGGATGATGATGATGATGATAAGTCTGAGGCGAGCTTGATGTATGAGAGCGATCAGGAGAGTGATGCACGGCACCCGAATCTCCAGAACCATCTAAGGACGTAGACAACGGCGCATCAG